CTTTCACTATATTCACTGCCTTAAGGATCAGCAAGCGCATAGATAAAATAAATAGATAAAAGCGCATAGATTTTTTAAAAAAATCCTGAACACTGGCATCGGCGAGATAAAGTTTTTGAAAAGAAGAACATAGATGCGTTTGTAGGATTTCAGAGGCTGGGAGATCCTTGTGAAACGCCTTGTTTCAATTGGAAATCGCTATTTTAAATTACCTAACTAAGTCTAGCTTCAAGATTTTCCCTTTATCATGACTGTTTAGCATTTCAACTATTCCTAATAAGGTCATTCATCGCTTCTCCACTGTGGTGTAACTGTAATTTGAATAAATGCATCGTTTCACAACAAATTCTATGATAACACAGTCAAAACAATGTTAAGTTTGCAAATTTGAGACTTCAAAAAATTCTAACGTTGAAGAAGTTGACATTTTACAGCGCGCAAAGGTTGTAATTCAGAAACTGCGCACTAATGAGAACTAGTCTAAACATTTTTATTTTGAAGAAATTCACAACAGAATTCCAAAAAAAGTGTTGCCCAATAGAAATAATATTGACGAATGTACTGAACCGTGAACATACAATCGTGATCCTTTTAAATCTAGAAGGAAAATTTTGCTGCGAATTTGAAGTGGGAGAGGCCACTAATATGAGACATAAAAAGGCAAAAGCATTTGAATTTCTTAAGAACTACAGCAAAATAACGGAGATAACAGCATAAAATTGGCATTCGCATAGACCATTTTCTGTCGATCAGTCCACGGCATAGGAATCAAAAGAAAAATTTGTAATGGAGGAACTAGTTTTTCATTGAAATCAAAAGGAACAAGATAGGATAGTGGCTACAGATTATTTTTGCAAAATTCTATTGCAAACAAAATGAACATGACGCAACATGTTTCGATTTATTCTTGAATTTCACCCTCTTCAAGTGCAACGGTGTCAATCATTTGTAAAAGTCTTCTTGGGATATGCAATTTTGAAGTTCAAGCTTTCTATTTTCTCGTCCATTAACGAAACCTTATGTAGTAATGGGGAGGCATGGCTTCACTTTCCACTAAAAAAACACATGCTGATTGATATCCTTCATGTGGGAATCTCAGTCACGCAAACCAAATTAAAAGCTACTCCACAAAAAATAAAAACTGGTATATTCGGAGCTTTACAAT